AAGTATGTGTGTGTGTGTGTGTGTGTGTGTGTGTGTGCGTGTGGGGTGTTGAGCCCCGCGCTCCTTGCCAGGACCACGTAGGAATGGCTGCTAGGCGCGCTCTTAGCTCGGGACTCTTGCCGGCTGGCCCGACTCCGCTGCGTCGCTGCGCGCGCGGGACCGCCACGCCAACAACAAGGGTGCGTGTGTGTATGTTTGTGTGTGTGTCGCCAACTGCAGCGGGCGGAAGGTCTGAACTCCCGGCTACTGCACGCTGGACTCGAGACCCGCCCTGCGCTGCCCGCCAGGGCCACCCGTTTCCTCGAAGGCTCTGGCTTTCGCTGAAGTTGGGGGCACGAAGCCACTGGGCTACGCATGCTGCCGTGGGCTTGTCTGGTGTCTCCTCCTTCTCCCCGCCCGATTCCTGCTGCAAGTCGTTCCCTCTCACTGCTCCCACCGACAGGTACTCGGTGCCCTCCATACAAGAAAAAAACACGGCATAAACATACACTTTGGGCGCTCCACACGGATTTCCTGGATCCGCGCTGTCCCTCCCTCCCTGGCGCGCTCCGCGCGCCAGGGGCAGCGCCGGAGGCGCCACCAGGGGGGCCCAGCGCGGATCCAGGAAATCCGCGTGGAGGGCCAAAAGTTAATGTTTATGCCGTTTCTTCTTCTTCGGCTCCACCCTGTCCCTACTCTCAGAGTGCGCCGCACCAGCTATACATGCACCAACTCCTCCCCCCTCCTCCTCCTCCTCCTCCCCTCCTCCTCCTCCTCCAATTCCCCCCCCTCCTCCTCCTCCTCCTCGTCCTCCTTCTCCTATTCCTCCTCCTCCCCCTAATCCTCCATTCCTTCTCCTTATAAATCACTTCTCCCTGTCGCACCCCGAGGCCAGTTTTAGGGCGGGCCGGGCGTTTCGCCCGAGACTTCCTCACCATTTATGAGCCTGAAGATTAAACGTTGGCAGCAGTCACACAGATGAAGGGCGGGTCGTTTTCAAAATGTGGCTCTCGTCTTAGCGCCGCGCACATTCGCTTTTAAACATTTGCGCGAGTTTCACGGATTGAGGGCGGGTCGTTTTCAAAATGTGGCTCTCGCCATAGCTCCGCGCGCATTCGTTTTAAACATTTGCAAGGGTTTCACGGATTGAGCGCGGGTCGTTTTCAAAATGTGGCTCTCGCCTTAGCGCCGCGCACATTCCTTTTAAGCATTTGCAAGAGTTTCACGGATGGAGGGCAAACTTGCAAGAGTTTCGCGGATTGAGGGCGGGTCGTTTTCAAAATGTGGCTCTCGCCATAGCGCCGCGCGCATTCTTTTTTAAACATTTGCAAGGGTTTCACGGAATCCCATGACCGACGTGCCAGATATTGCGTTTTGGAAGGATTCACGATTTCGAGGGCGCAACAGTTGCGATGATTCGCGGGAGGTCCCAGGAATGGCGTTCTGGCGCGATTCAGGATCGTGAAGACGCAACAGTCAGGTTCATCCGTGCGTTGGAATACCGAGAATAATGTTTTGGCATGCTTCGGAGTCTTCAAACGGTTGTCTTCGAAAGAGGCAGGTCCCTCTGTGGAAATGAACCGCTGTAGGGGCCTATGAAGAGGGATCTTGGGGAGGGATTAGTCCAACATCGTTGGTGACTCTTGGGTTTACACTGGTCCTCCTCCTCCTCCTCCTCCTCCTCCTCCTCCTCCTCCTCCTCCTCTATACACCTGCACTGATCATGGCTGGGCTGATGCCGGCCCAGCATGGGTGTACGGTGTATATCTGGCGCTCTTCTGCCCCCCCCCCCCCCCGCGCCTGCCGTGCCCTTCTCCCGTGTGCCCCTCCCCCTCCCCTCCCCAGAGAAGGAGGAGGAGGAGGAGGAGGAGGAGGAGGAGGAGGAGGAGGAGGAGGAGGAGGAGGAGTTGGAGGAGGAGGTGGAGGGCTTCTTTTGACATTCACGGCCAAGGACCGCAAGTTGTATAGGGCAAAACCACAATGTCTCGACGAAGACCCCGTCAATCTTCGGGTGGAGACCTTTGCCAAGCCTTCTCCAGTTCTCGCATTTGCGAGGGTGAGCGAGCTGCTGACAGGGTGCACCCAACTTCGCGAGACGCTCTCCAAACATGAACGCTCCGCAGAGTCGGGTCGTCAGTACAATTCAGCAAGGAGGAGGAGGAGGAGGAGGAGGAGGAGGAGGAGGAGGAGGAGGAGGAGGTCCGAGAATCGAGGCTCGGGTTCCACGACAGATGTGTTTTGGCAGCCCTCTGGCCTCCAGGGCCTGCAAGAACCCCCTCGTCGCTGCGGCCGGACTTCCTCTGAGATTCTGGTCAGGGCCCCCCTTTGCCTCCCCGAGTCCCCCCTCCGCATCCCTCCTTGCCACGTCCCCTCTCGTCCAGCCTGCTGCCCGTCGCCGTCACGCACCGGGGCACTTCCTCCCTGCCCCGCTCCCTCGCTGGCTGTGCGGCCTAAGCGAAAAGCAGGGTGCCCTGGCCTCCTCCGGGTATGTGCCGAGGCTGAAGAGCGGCACCCCGAGCACCTCGGAGGCCGGGTCGCCCGGCGAGGCCCCCCCCCCCCCAGCAGAGGCGCGAGGGGCCCCAGGGTTTCAGAGGTCCAGACGCCCAGAGGCAGGTGCAGGACGGGGAAGCAGGGAACGACGGAAAAAGACGCAAAAGAGACGCTGAGCCATGCAGAAGCACGCATCCCCCCCCCGCAGCGCGTGTACCTGCTCATGTGTACCCCCGCATGTACGATGAGCTGTGCATTTGTGCATAGGCATGGGCCCATCGACACGCGCAGACTCGTTGTCTGGAATACCTGGCAGTGCGCACGCAAATGTGCGAATATGTATACGCACACATAGGCACACAAATCCAAGCCTATGTGCGCAATGGAGAAGAAGCTCAGTCAATACGCGCGTGCATGACAAACGATACTTTTTTCCTCTGGGCGTGAGGAATCCAGGGTGCCAGCAACTCTTTGAAGGGCAGCCCCTTCGAAAAAGCACTATACTCTTTCCCCCTGCCCGCCGAGGTTTTGATGGGAGGGATGGGGGAGGAAGCGTCATTGAAGGGGCCCTGGGACACACAAATAAATACACACAAATAAAAATATCCCCAATATTTTTCCATATTTTCTGGGTTTTGTCTTCCCCCTCACTTCCCATATTTTTCTATATTTTCCTGGGAGTGGACGATTAATTGTGTCTGTGTGTTTTTTCTCCTCCTGAGTCATGGAGTTCACGATGCGCTCGGACACGCTCGGCTGCTTCCGGCATGCCTCCAGCACGCCTCCAAGAGGCCTCAAGAGCGCCCCGGGATGGCTCCGGGGTGGCGCAGGGCGCTCCCCCAAAGGATGCCCCCCGAGAGGCCCACGCGAGTGGACAACGCGCACGGTCTTGAGAGCGCCTCCACGTCTGCTGCCTCCTGGGCCTCCTGGCTTGCCCAGAGATCCCGAGACCTCCAGATTCTGGAGGAGGAGGAGGAGGAGGAGGAAGGATGAGGAGGAGGAGGAGGAGGAGGAGGAGGAGGAGGAGGAGGAGGAGGAGAGGAGGAGGAGGAGGAGGAGGAGGAGGAGGAAGGAGGGGGAGGAGGGGAGGAGGAGGAGGAGGAGGAGAGGAGGAGGAGAAGGAGAAGGAGGAGGAGGAGGAGGAGGAGGAGGAGGAGGAGGAGGTGGAGGGTAGAAGTCCGAGGAGGCCCCGAGGCCGCGCGCGAGCGCCCCGAGGGCCCCCCCCCTCGTGGCACCCCCGAGGGCTCCTGCGGCGCCGCTGCGGCGTGCCGGCCTCCTCCTCCCTCCCTCCTCCTCCTCCTCCTCCTCCTCCTCCTCCCCTCCTCCTCCTCTCCCCTCTCCTCCTCCTCCTCCTTCCAAAAAAGCGCGGAGAGCTCCGTGGCCGGGGCCGCGGAGCTCTCCGCGCTTTTGGCCTCGGGGCCGCGGAGAGGGCCCCCTGCCGCGCGCCCCCGGCCCCTCGCGGCGAGGGGGCCCCAGCGGCGGTGCAGAGGGCCAGCAGGAGGACGACGGAGGGGGGCCCGGAGCTCCCCGAAGGCGGCCCCGAGGCTCCGGGGGAAGGACGAAGCCAGGACGAAGGCAAATTCGGATGAGGGCAAATCGAGAAAACAGGCGGGGCGTTGACCTAAGGAACCCTAAGTAAGGAACTAGGCCTCTTTGTTTTTCTCCATAAATTAAACTTCGATTTCCGATCGAAAACATACGGAAAACCCTGAGGCAAGCTGTGAAACACTTAAGGAACGCGGAGCCCCTCCCCAACCAAAAGGGTTCCTTCTTCAGGGCCCCGACTGCATCTGAGACTCGGCGGCTCTGGAGGGTGTCTCGGGCGCCGCAGCCTTCTCAAAGCGCTCTGGACCGCTCCGAGAGCGTCCCAGAACCTTCCGGAGCGCCCCGGAGCAGAGCTGTCCTGGCCCCATCCCGGAAGCTCCGAGGTGGCCCCGAGGTCGCGCACGCGCGACCCGGGGGCTCCCCCGTGGCACCCTCGTGGCAGCGGTGCTCCAGCAGCGCTGCAGAGGCCAGCAGAGAGACGACGCGCGGAGGGGGGCCGCGTGGCCAGCGCAGGCCTGGAACACGACGGCGCTCGGCCCGTTTTCATTTCGCTTGCCCCCAGGGCACGACGCCGACGCCGACGCCGGCGTGCTTCGTCGGCAGCGCCGTGAGCGGCAGAATGCGTCGAATTGATCGTCGTCGTCGTCGTCGTCGTCATCGTCGTCGTCGTCGTCGTCGTCGTCGTCGAGACCAGTGCTGTTGCACCAACTTCGGGCACCTCGTGCTCCGCGACGTGCAACGCGCGATTGCCTGCGCGCCTTCCGGAGGCCCCGCCGGAGAGGGGCAGCGCTCGGGCCCGGGCCGCGACGCGCGGAGCGCGGGTGGCCTTCGCGTGCGTGGGGCGCCCCGTGCGGCTCTGGGTTGCAGGAGGCTTCTCCGCGTGCCTCTCTGCTGGAGGGGAGGAGGAGGAGGAGGAGGAGGAGGAGGAGGAGGAGGAGGAGGAGGAGGAGGAGGAGGAGGAGGAGGAGGAGGAGGAGGGGAGGAGGAGGAGGAGGAGGAGGAGGAGGAGGAGGAGGAGGGGGGCGTGCATTAGAGGTAGTCTCTTCGGCACGCGGAGGGGCGCTTGCCTGGCTCGACCACAGCAGGATCGATGCGCAACAGCGCGGCGATCTAGCTGAGGTGGGCAAGGGATGACTTGGCCCACGCACTTGTTGACAAACCAGGCACATTGGCATGCCACACATTGATGTGTCTTATGCCGCTTCGATCGCCAAATATAAGAAGGCAGATCCCCATGAGGGGTGAGGGCGGTGGGGTGGAGGTAGCATGCGAACGAATAACAAGAGATGTCGAGAGGAATAACGACACAGATGTGTATTTTCGTTTTTAAATGTTACCCCGCGTTGTCCCCTAACCAATGTGTTCCTGGCAACTTATTTTGTGCATTATCTGTGGAGCACTCGATGTTGTGCAATCTGTGTGGTGCTATCTATATTGTGCAATATGTGTGGGGGGCAATTTATGTGATGCAAAATGGGTTATGCAGCCTACGTGGTACACTATGTGTTGTGCAATCTATGTTGTGCATCATCGGTGCTGCAGTAAACGTGGTGCGATCTAGGTAGTGCTCGATCAATCTGGTGCAAGCAACGTGATGCAATATGTGTGGTGCAATCTCTGTTGTGCAATCTAGGTGGTGCAATATAGATGTGGTGCAATCGACGTGGTGCAGTCTATAGATGGTGCGATATATGTCGTGCAATCTATGTGGTCCAATTAATTTCTGTTCGCAATGAGTTGTCCACTCCACTGCTCGCGCAAACATCCCACCCACCCACCCGCAACTTGGTTTGCAAAATCTCTTAAGACCGTGACGGTGGGTACCACATGGCACTTGGCAACGACATCGACGCCGACGACGACAGCGACAACGACGACGACGACGCCGCCAACGACTACGACGACACCGACGACGTCTCCAACGACTTCGACGACGCCGACAACAACAACGACGACGACACCGACGACGACGACGCCGACGACGACGACGACGATGACAACGACGACGACGATGACGACGCCGCCGACGACGACAACAACGACGACACCGACGACGACGACGACGTCAACGACGCCGCCGCCGACGACGACGACGACGACGGCGGCGACGACGACGACGCCGACGTCGACGACGACGAAGACGACGACGACGCCGACGACGAAGACGACGACGACGTCGCCAACGAAGACGACGATGAGGGAGGAGGGAAGACGACGACGGCGACAACGACGACAACGACGATAACGACGAGGGAGGAGGGAGGACGGCGACGACGCGAACGACGAAGAAGGAGGAAGGACGGCGACGCCGACAACGACAACGACGAGGGAGGAGGGAAGACGACGACGACGACAACGACGACGACGACGACGACGGCGAGAAAATAGGAGGGACGACGACGACGAGACGCCGACGACGGACGACGACGACGACGCGGGAGTAGGAGGAAGGACGACCACGGCGACAACGACGACGGAAACGACCACGACGCCAAAGAGGACGACGACGACGAACACGAGCAAAGACAGAGGACGACGTAGGCGACGACGACGACGACGACGCGGGAGGAGGGAGGACGGCGACGACGAAGACGACGACGACGCAAGAGCGCGCGCGCGCACGCTTTTGTTGAAAATCCGTGTTGCGAAACCTTGTGTTTTTGTAGGTTTTTTGGACTCACGATTTTGAACCCCTTCCGAAACCGATGGGTTTTGACGGATTTCGGCATACGCCCGCGACAACGCGCGCGTCTGCACTTCGTCCCGTTTTTTGCATGGGATTCTCGCGACGGCACACGCGCAAGGGCGTTCGACAGATTTCGACATGCGCGCGCGCGAAGCCCGTTTGGTAGCATTTTGTGAAAATCTTGAAACACCAATGGTTTTCTTAAGATTTCGCAAGAGCTCGCGCGTAAGCTTTTTTAGCACATCAGTGTTGCGAAACCCTATTTTTTAGTATGTTTTTTGGAAACTCGATTGCGAAATCCTTCCGACACCGAAGGTTTTTGCAGGATTTCGGCATGCGCGCGCGCGGCGACGCGCGCGTGTGCACTTCGTCATATTTTTTGCAAGGGATTCGCGAACAAGTCTTATGTTAGAGCAACAAATGTCCCCGCGTATTGCTTTTTCCAAGGGAACCTCAAGGGAATCGATACCGCCGCCCCCCCTGGGATACTGTAAATGCATATTTGGGATGGACATGTGGTCATAATCATACATGATTTACGTACCCGAAAGGGGGGCGGATAACGCAGGGGGGGGGTAGAGTTTATTCTCTTTTTAGACAGGAGAATCAACGGGGTACAACCCATGTTGTGCAATCTAGGCGGCGACAAGGCGGAGACGGCGATCACGGAGCCGAGAGACAGTCAACCAGGCCCAGTTCCTCAGAAAAGAAGTAAGAACCCCTAAGTGCAGGCACTGTTTGGGGAAGATGCGCCTATAACCAGCTGTCCATAGACATATATTTATATATACACATATGAT